TGAAATCCTGGTGACACTAACGGGTACCGCAGAAATCTAGAGAGGAATACGTCATCGCCCACTGCAACGTCATCACAAGATCCAAACAATCAGAATCCAAACTCTGGAACATGTACTCACAGCCCATCACCATACAGGAATTTTTCAATGCAGTTGTTGGTTCAGAGTCATGCAAAAAGCTTAGTCCAATTTTTGCTAAAAATGCCAATGTAAATGGCACAACACTTCACAATAGCAAGGTCAGGTTTAATCATTTCACATATTAATATGTTGAGTTCACTCCTTATCCTATTAGGCTGGATCTTATCAACTTTTTCTTCTGTGGGGCAGCTGTGTTTTGTAAGCAACATCAAAAGAAGTGGATACTATCATTCCAGTTGCCATGGTTTAGATGAAACTCCAATCACAGAGAAGAACATGACATTCATTGGTACCCAAGTCAGGAATCATGAAGCTGATGGTCCAACTGGTGATGAAAGATCAGCAAGAGGGGAGCACACAATCATCTAATGACAGAAGATGGATAATATATTCAAACAAACAGCTCACTATATTGGTATTGATGACAGCAAACCCTTCCCTCTACCTTACCTTGGGATTTGCATGAGTCTTGGAAGGTATTGAATACAATAGCACTATATACATTGGAATGACAACATGAACAGATGCCAAGGACAGAATGGGCATTTGAGCATTTATAAAATGTGTATGTATGTTTCAATGATCTGGGTGGTGACATAATAGAATCACTGTTACAGAAGTTGTTGGTTGATGGCTGTTGAAAAAGAAAATGGCATTCTATGGTGTGGACATAAAGCAAGTAATGAGTGGATCCAACAGTGCAAGGAGATTGTAAAGAATATGGAACCCTTACAGTATAATCAAGGTATGTCAGTACATTGTTTGTTTGTTTTTGTCATATCTACTAATCCCCTGTTATGCTAAAAAGGTGAGAAAGAAAAACGCAAAAGGGCATAGACAATACAATGAGAATGGAGCAATAGTCGTCATTAGTCTGATCTAATTTCTCACTGCCAGAAAACCGTCATTGGATTGTGCAATAATAATAAAATCAATAAAGCTTGTTAAATATGGTGTGAAAAAATTACAAACGATAAAAATAAATATAGGATTGCCCGTATATGGAAAATTACAATTATAATGGTTCAACCGAATATGAGAAAGCAATGCGTTTCTTGGAATTAGGCTGCAATTGTGGTTGCTCAAAAATGATTCCGAGGGAAAGGTTTGCCGATTACGTGAAGCGTTTCAAGCTCTCTCTAATCCGAACAAGATATATTTTTAATAGCCTAACTGAAAGCGATGAATGGTGGAAGAATAACTGGCAGCCGTCGTCTTAAAAGAAAACACGTACTAATAAGCGAACGGTTTACCGCTGAGATCGCAATACGCCGCTTTGTCGGAAACATATCTCAATATGTTAGGAATTGGCCGCACACACTTCGAAACCGTCAGAAATCACCTAACAACGAATGGTATAATACCGTGTGTTCATGGTAATATCAAACGAATGCCGCGATGGAAAACCAAAATAACCGTTGATGTAACCGTTGCTCACCGCTGTGAAGAAATTTTTCGAAAATTATGCGAAAATTCATGGACTACCAAGTCCTGGTAGAAATGTCAATCGCATTACTCAATCGCTTACATTATTGCCAGCCGAAACGAGTTACAAATCCGTCTACCGTGATTTTATTGCAGGTCTTGAAAACGATAGCACGTTGAAATTGTTAAAATATGATGCATTTCGCAAGTTATGGCACCAATTAACACCTTATATTCAAATCATGAGCCCAAGAACGACACGTGCCAACATTTTCGGAACGACTTACAATACAATGCTCGCAAAGAAGAAGAAGCGAAAGATTTATTGAAAAATTCAAAGGACATCTAGTTAAAGCTAAGTTGGAGAGAAATTATTACAACAAAATACGAAATTAGCAGAAGAACAAGAAAATTAGTAGATGAGCAGTTTATAATAAGAGGAAAAGTTGGCACAAAATGTTCACGTTCCCCATTCTGATCAACAAGTAAGTAAGATTTATTATCTCAGTCCGCGTAAAGTGCATTTATTTGGTATGCAGTACGCGAACAAATTATTATGTTCTCGATGAAGACGAAATTATAGGAAAAGGTCCTAATGAAACACTGAGCATGGTATTCGATGGGGTTAAGAGATGGAATAAAGGTGAAAAGTACTTAAAGATTACTTGTGACAATGCAGGAGGACAGAATAAAAGTAATGCCACCGTTTGATTTTACCCGTATTTAGTAATTTGCGGTTATTATGAAAGTATTGAATTAAATTTCATAAACTAAATTCAAGTGTGCTGGTAGTCGGAATGGTTCAGAAACTATATCGCAAGACAACGGTAAATTGTGTGAACGATATTGTTAAAGTTGTGAAAAAATCGATTAAACAAGGCTCAGCGTTATGACAACGGAAAAGCCTTTCAATATTTAGATCTCAATTCTGTATTGGAAATTTTCTTTAAGAAATTGAGTGGTTTACAAATATCAGCATTTTGTTTTTGAAGCAACAAATCAGTTTAAAGACATTACTTGTCCAAAGCCCATTTAAATATTCAAAACAAATGATTGTCTTTTTAAAAGAACAAACGGGTTATAAGTTTCGTAAATGGAAAAAGGATTATTGGTTGGCTTTTCTTTAAGTACTGGAACTTTCACCACCTGCGGAAATTGAGTCCTAATTTTATTAGCTAAAATTTGACTTTGGTTTGTTTTTTGGGCAAAAAAGGTAAAGGCTTAGGGACTTGTTTTTCTCGCCATTCCTTAATTTCTCTAGCCAATATTTTTTTGATTTTTTTTTCTTTCCTGGTTTTTCTTGCAACTCTTGAATGTCAGGCATCTTGAAAATATTCTCGCTCCTCTTTTTC